TGTTCCGCAGGAGAAAGATGAGGCTTTCTGCTCCCGTAAAGATTTACAGCCTCGGAAACCCTGTACAGGGTCACTATGAGTCGGAACTGACTCCAGGGCACATAACATCAACAACGACACTTAAGAATGGATCTCTCCATAGCCAGGAAGTACCTGTACTTAAATTTCAATAACAATAAACATACTGACTTATAAAATCTCAGATCAGACACACATATATATGTATAATCCTGTGCATACAGATACCCAACTGCTGATGAGCATTAGCTTTCTATACAAGACCCTCAACGAGATGGACTGGCCAAGTGGCAGCATTGATGGACTCAAGCGTGGCAACTGTAGTGAGGTTGGCCCAGGATGAGGCAGTGTTTGGTTCTGCTGTGCATAGGGTTGATATGAGTAGGTACTGACTCGATGGCACCTAACAACAACATGAGTCTTATACGTTTTATTATTATGGTTGTACACATTCAAATGTTCCTACATTTTTATATTCTTTGGGTTCAAAATGGGTGATGCTTTCTCCTTGTTGTTGTTGTGATTGCCATAGAATGGGTCCCGACTGATAGTGACCCTGTATAAGGTTTCCAAGGAATGGCTGTTGAATTTGAAATGCTGACCTTGTGGTTCAAACCAACCTGATCCAGTGCTTATCATATGGCACCACACCAGGACTCCTGCCCCTTAATTACCTTAATAATTAATATCTAAAATATACAAGACTCATTTAAAAGAAAAACTAATTGTAGAAACAAGGTGGTGGGTCTATGGGTATTCATTACGTATTTCAAATTTTCTCTGCATCAATTATTTTCAGGAAAAAAAAATGCTGAGAAAAACTAACAAAATGGATTTAAAGAGTCTCCTGGTAAAGATTTAAATGTTTACATCTCATCTTAGGCAGTACTGTGTATCATTGCTAAAGCACAAAAGCTAACACTCCTCATACTCAAAAGAATTCTGGTGTTACAACACTGAGTAAAAACTTGCAATGAGTGCTTAGGGGCAAGTATACTGATGTCCAAAATTTACTTTGAAGTACATAAAAAAGATGAATTAATGAACTGATATATGGATAGATATGTGATTTTTAAAATGTATATGAAAAAGTTAACAATAGAATCTAGGTGGTAGGTATATAAGTGTTCACTGTAAAATTATTTTAACTTTCCTGCATGTTTAATAATTTTCACAAAATATGAAGAAAAAGCCTATTTTTCCAGAGTTCCTGGCTGATTCAGATAGTTAATATGATCAGCTGCTGATTTTAAGGTCTACTCATTGTTACTTTGGAAGAAAGGCCTCGTGATGTACTTCCAAAAAATCAGCTATAGAAAACTCTATACAGCACAGTTCTACTCCAACATACACTCAGGGTCACCAGGAGTAAAAATCAATTTGATGGCAAGAGCCTGTCTTTAGAACATTGCCTTCTGGCCTCAGACCCAACTACTAGAATCCCAAAAGGGTCTTTTGCTTCCATATCTTTGCATATAGAGTTTCCTCCAAACAGACTGCCCCCTTCATGCATAATGCATTCTTCTTTTGATATTTCACTTAAATGTCACTACCATCAGGAAGCTTTCTAAGCCCTATCAAGCAGAGTTTAGGGCTTTTTCTTTTATGCTCTTTGTGGTGATGGTGGTGGTGGTGTGCCACTGAATAGGTTCCAACTCATAGCAACCCTGCAGAGGGTTTCTGAGGTTGTAAATCTTTATGGGAGCAGAAAGCCTCGTCTTTCTCCTGCAGAGTAACTGGCAGATTCAAACTACTGACCTTGAAGTTAGCAACCCAGTCTGTAATCCACAATGCTCTCTGTATATACTATTACTAAATTTGTCACTTGCTGTAATTAAATGATTACACATCTCTCAAAACAGCCCTTTAAATCCTTAAAGGGTAAGGATTTTGTTATATTCATTTTGGTATCCCCCAAATCAAGTCTAGTGCCTAGTACACTATAGGGGATTAATGTTTGTTAAACAAATTATATGGTTGCTGAACAAATTAGGGTTATACGAGGTGTAGTGGATTATACATTAAGCTGCTAACCACAAGGTCAACAGTTCAAACCCACAAGTCACTCTGCAGGACAAAGATGAGGCTTTTTGCTTCTGTAAAGACTCAGAAACCCTATGGTGGTGGTGGCTGTGTGCCGTGGAGTCGATTCCGACTCATAGCGACCCTGTACAGGGTTTCTGAGGCTGTACATCTTTACGGGAGCAGAATGCCTCATCTTTCTCCCGCAGAACAGCTGGTAGTTTTGAACTGCTGACCTTGTGGTTCGCAGCCCGAAACCCTATACTGGGTCACAATGAGTCAGAAAGACTCACAGCATATAACCATTACCATCATTGGTGAAGCAATTAATGTGCTCTAATTTATGTCTATTTATCTCTTGCATCCTAGCCAGTCTTCGTCATTTCTGGTACTACTTCCCTAGTCAGTCAGACCTTTTGCCCAGATTACTGTAACAGCATCGTAACAGTTCTCCCAGTGCATAGTCTTGTTTCATTAAAATGTGGCCTGAGTCTTGTTCCATAGTTAAGAAATAAAACTTATGAAATGTAAACAGTGTGTATTCACTAATTAGGGTAAAAAATTTGCTTAAATATGTTTTGGGAGAAAAGTTGAAACCTAAAGAACAACTTATTTATTTGGTAAGGAGTTCTATACCAACAAAACCAATCTCCTATCATTTCCCAAGCACCTTACTAGGCAGTTAATAAAACACAGTCTTCAAGCCCTAAAGAAACTTTCAGACTAAAGGCAGAAAGGATATGTAAAACAAATACAATGTGAAAACTGAAATTACTTGGGAATTGTTTGGGGAGCACAAAGACTCAAGGGGAGTCGGAAACATTCCACAGGAATTGACATTTGTGAAATAAACAAACAGAAAGCATGAACACTGTACCATCTGTAAGTATGATGCACTAAGGAACACAGGCAGATGGGTTTAGGGTCATCATGAGTGCACTGAATGTCTAATACCTTATCCTCCAGGCAATTTAACCTTTGGGACTGTTTTTTATAACAGAGGCGTGTAGACCAAATCTGGGAATTGGTGAGGAAATGGTTGGTAACAGAGAAGCTTGGCAAAAAAGCATTTTAAAAAAATGTTGTTAAATGCCGTCAAGTTGGTTCCAATCCATAAGCAACCCGGTATAGGGTTTCTGAGGATCATCTGGTGTGCTCGAACCGCTGACCTTGCAGTTCAAATGACTGCAGTCTGGCGCATTAACCCACAGTGCCACACCAGTACTCTTTTTTTTTTTTTTTAATTTACTTTTTAAAAAAGATTATTTTTTAATATTCTGATAAGCCAGCAGCATCTTTAGATTTCTTTCATTTTAGCAAACAAACATTCACTCATCTTCTTACCTTATCTTCATAGCCATTATTTGTGATAGAAATTGGAGGCTTTCCGGGAAAGCGATAAAGAATGAAATCCCGACTAAATGGGTAGAAAACAAAGGTGGTGAGAAGAAACAATTTGGTGTATGTAAAAGATAATTATTATAACAACAAGTATTTGTGTTTCTAAACTATCCGCAATAAGCACTGGGCTGGTAATTGCAAAGTAGGCAGTTCAAATCCACCAACTGTTCTCAGAAACCCTATACAGGGTCATTATGAATCAGAACCGACTCAACAGCACAACAATTTTATTCATAAAAAACAACCCAAATACGTAAGAACGTAAACCATTTTAACTATAGACAGTGCAGATAGCTGAATGCCCCAAAATAGATCAGCAATTTTTTTTTTCTTTTAGAAAAGGCTAGATAATAAAGATTTTCAGTTTTGTATGTCATATGGCCTCTGTAGCAACTATTTAACTCTGCCTTTCTAGTATAAAAGCAGCCATTTGTTGTTGTTAGTGCTGTCAAGTTGTTTTCAACCCATAGCGACCTTGTATAGTGTTTCTGAGGAGTGACTGGTGAGCTTGAACCTCCACAGACAACATATAATCCAGTAAGCCTTACTATTTCCAATAAAACTTTATTCAGACATCAAAATTTGAGTTTCACATAATTTTCACAGGTCATTAAAATTTTTTCTTCTTTTAACTTTTGAAAACCCACAAAACATTTGCAACTTCAACATTTTTTTAACATGTACATTTTAGTGACATTAAATAATGTCCATCATGTTTGTTCCACCAAAATCTGTTTCTGTATTTTTCATAACCTTTTAACAGACGTTATGTGCCCCTTAAAAATGGCTCCTTCTTTCCCTCTTCCTCTCACCACCACTGACCATGAATAAAGTCTGGTCTCTAAACATTTGCTTATTCTAAATATTTCAATTTTTTTAATCTTTTAAAAATATAAGAATGGCCATACAAATCCAAACAGCAGATAGATTTAAAAATGGACACCTGATTTAAAAGCAACAACTGATTTAGCTACCTGCTCACTGCCTCTTCTCAACCACTTCTCATTGAATTTACTTTAAAAATGAGATTGCAAAATACAGACTTATGAAATTTTGACTCTACATCAAAGTATATACCATGTCATCATCCTAAGAATTAAGAAAGATTCTTACAAAAATATGACTCCTCAAATGAACAATATCTACTACCTCTCACCTACCCCAATTTTTAGAATGTCACTTTTTGCAACTTTAAAGATCAAAAGATAACTACAATAAAGCAATGAGTCTCAACTTTTTTCCTTAGTATTTGCCCCCATAAGGATCCCTGATGATACAGTGGATTAGCATTGGATCTCAAGGTCAGCAGCTGTTCCATGGAGAAATATGAGGCAATCTGCTTCTGTAAAGAATTATAGGCTCACAAATCCCTGTCCTATCTATAGTGTGGCTCTGAGTCAGTTTGGTTTGGTTAGGAAGCCTTTTTAGACTTTTCTTAATCCCCCATAAAATTCTAATACCACTATATATTCTAATACACTGTATATGTTTATGTGGTGGTGGTGGTTATGTGCCATGGAGACGGTTTCGACTCATGGCGACCCTGCACAGAGTTTCAGAGACTACAAATCTTTACAAGAACAGAAAGCCTCATCTTTCTCCCAAGAAACTCCTGGTAGTTTTGAACTGCTGACTTTGAAGTTAGCAGCCCAACTCATAATCACTATACTACCAAAGCTCCTTATGTTTATGTATTATGACCTTTTAAAGGGCCACAAACCATTGTTATACCTAACTTTTTTTTTTTAACCTCAAGACTCAGTTTTCACCTACCTGGAAGCACTACTGCCCCCCTTTTCCCATTTTTGCTTATTTGTTAAGTACCATCGAGTCAGTTCTGACTCATAGTGACCCACTATAAGGCTTACAAGGAGTGACTTGTGGTTCAAACTCCTACAGCACCATACCAAGACTCCACTGTCCCCATTTAGAATCATACAATAGAGACATAATAAGAGTTAACGAGACAAAAATCGTAAGCGATAAAAACGAATTTCCCACAAGAATTATACCAGTAAACTAACTTACATGCCAAGTGGATGCAAATGTAAACAGGGGTAATAAGGCTCTCTATCCACAAAAGACACTAAAGCTGACTTGCTTAGACTTCCTTCATTCTACTTATCAGTACATCAAATCTGAAATCCCCGCCCAATCATAAAATGACTTTAATAGAACACCATTATACACATATACACACTCTCTTAAAGAAAAGGGGATACAAACTTACTTATAAATTAGAGAAAGAGCTCTTATTTCCAGCTGGCCAGCACTTTCCTAAACATAAATAGTGCATAAAGTTTAAAAAAAAAAAAAAAAAAAACACATTCTGCAGCTAGGTAACAGAAGTTTCTCTAAGTTCAACAATTGTTTTTAGCTGTTTAGCAATGTTTTAGGTAAAGAATGTGTAGAATACACTATAACTTGTTTTGGGGCTTGGAATATTGCCATAGCTACACATTAAATGTAAATATACAGTTAAAACAAGGACCTTAAGTCCTTCTTTGTTGTTAAGTGCCCTGTAGAAATAATGACAGTTAACATGATTTAAAAGGCACAGCAAAAATGTAACTAGTCTGAGAATACAAAGGTAGCAGGATATTTAGTAAACATGTTTGAAGACCAGAATTATGGAATTAATTTTATCACATGAAAATTGCTTCTGGAAAAAAAAGAGTTAAGTCATTATGGATCCTACTCCCATATAACAAAGAATAAAAATCACGGGAATTGTTTAATAAACAGGATTTTTAGGTAACATTCATCTCCATCACCCACCCTCCTCCCCTATTAAAGTAAACAGACTGAAGATGATCTTATTCCCATACAGAAATGTTTGTAGTGCCCTGGTGTGCTCTTTCTTGAAGTCTATGGAAAAGACTGTTAACACACAAATCTCAATATTCAACACAAAACAATGGGTCAATTGCCAGACTATAAACCTTTGTAACACAGCTGGCTCTGACTAAAGTGACATAGTCGACTGAATATTTAATTTGTTACATACTCTCAAAAGATTAAGGCCCCATATTTGATCTTACCTTGGGATCTCCCAACCGTTCCAGGTATTTCTCATAAGATCCCTCCACATACTTCAAAAATAAAACAAACTTGACTTAACCAAATACACAGCATTACTGAAATCTGATTATATTCTGCAACATTATCCTTTTTTTTTTTTTTTGGTTTAGCTCAATAAGTATGGTATTAAATTACTACTTTGCACAGTACCTCAAGAAGATTTGCTCATACACAAATGTTACCAGGCTGGGGTGGGGGTGGGAAGGAGGTGGATAGCAAACTTATCTTAGAACTGGTCTTAGCTTATCCATATACCAGTACATTTCCAAGAGTATATACCTTTGAGTTTCTTTTGAAATGACAATTTAAAAGTATTATAACAAGTTTCATAAATGCAGTGAAAACACTGTAAGAATGACAATTTTGACAGCCATCATGCATTTACAAAGTTAAATTGAGAAACTTTAAAGAGAAATTTCATTCGTTTCAACACAGCCCAGGACACAAGGAACTTTTGGGGGTGATGAAAATGCTATATATCTTGATAGTAGTGGTGGTTATATTCAGGGTTTCCAAAGGTTCATTCCAGTTGGAACCCCTGCCGAGCATTAACCTACAACAGTTTAACAAGAATCCCACGTGATTCTTATGGCTCCATCCGCAGGTGATTCTTATTTATCATATTCTCTAAGACTAATCTGGAGAATCTTGTTAAATTGTAGAGTCTGACTCAGTCTATCTGGAGTGGAAATACATATTATCAGGAGAGGGGGAATTAAACTGGAATTAACCCGCTAGAAGCCCTGGATTACAGAACTATACAATTGCCCAAATCAAAAACTACAAACTTAAAACAGCATATTTTATTGTACATAAAATATACCTCAATGAAAAATAAATTAAATGCAGACAATAGATTTAACTCTAGTTCCATACATATAAGGGAGATTCAAAAAGTTTGTGGCAATGGATACTTCAGTTTCCACCACCAATAGACCAGAAGAACTAGATTGTGTCCAGCTACCACTACCAACTGCACTGAAAGGGATCACATTAGAAGGTTCTGGATAGAGTGGGAGAAAAAGCAGAAAAAAACTCAAAAAGCACTAAAAGCAAAAAAGGCTTAATAGTCAGATAGTCTGTTGGAACGCAGAGACTGTGGCCCTTAATGACCCTTTAGAACTGAACTCAGTCCTATGGTTCAATTTTCAGTCAAGCAATAGATAGGTATATTGGGGGGACAACACTAGTGAGATATGCATACCATAGAATGGTCAAGCATTAGAGATCAAAAGGGCAAAATTCAGAAGAGAAGGGAGAGGAGGAGGAATGGAAACAAGAGACACAGAAGTGGGATAAGTGAGGTTCTGTGAGGGGACTGCAACTGAGATCACACATAATGTATGATTTGTTGGACATAAAACCCTCAATTCACACATGCCAAAAATTTACATTTGTGGAAAAATGAAATAAAAGCATATTTTACATAAACTTTTTGAAGATCTCTCTTTATATGTATATATAAATATCACTGTTAAGTGGCATCGAGTCAGTTCCAACTCATTGTGATCCTGTATCAGGTTTTCAGGGAGCGGCTGGTGAGTTTGAACCACCAACCATGGGGTTAGCCATTTAGTGCTAATCTTACAGCACCACACCAGAACTCCTATATATATATATCACTAAACTTAAAAAAAATCAATATTTAATTATCATTTTATTTTGAAACTGCTTGTTGAGATATAATTGGCATAATAAACTGCACAGATTTAGAATGCACAAGATTGATAAATTTTGACTTATGTACCCATGAACCGATCACTAACATTGAGATAATGAACATATCCATCAACCTCAAATGGCTCCTCCCCTCAATTTAGCAGTCCACCCCACTGGCAACCACAAACTGCTTTCTGCACAACAGTCTACTTTTTTTTTTTTTTTTTTTTACAATTCTATATATAGGAAAAGGAGCTCTGGTAGCGTAGTGGTTACGAATTGGGCTGTGAACCTTAAGGTCAGCAGTTCGAAACTACCAACTGTTCCGCGGGAGAAAGATGAGGTTTTCTGCTCCCGTAAAGATTTATAGCTTCGGAAACCCTGTACAGGGTGGCTATGAGTCGGAACCGACTCCACGGCACATAAAAACAACAACATATATAAGAAATCATACAGTATTGTACTTTTTTTTTATCTGACTTTTCACTCAGCTTAAGTATTCTGAGATCCACCCATAGTTTTAAATGTTTACACAAATGTTTGTTACTCAAAATGTAGTTTGACAACCAACAGAATCACTTGTGAGTCTTATTAACAATGCAGAAATTTTGGGGCTACACCTAAAACCTACAGAATGAGAACTTGTAGTTCAATAAGCTCCCCAGGCTATTTTTATGCACAAAAATACTTGAGAGGCACTGCTTTACAACATGGTTTTGTATTTGAAGTAATTTCAGCAGTAATCTTTCCCCCAATGCTGATAAATACTATAATAAACGTCCAAGTGTTAAACCTTAAAAGCCATGAAGCCTTCACACAGTTTTAAAATTCATTAATACCTGTTGAGAAAATTAAAGAGTAAACCTTGAACAGAAGGCAAATATCCACAATACAGTTAGAAGAAAATAGTACTGGAAGGGCAAGAGTGTTGTTTTGTTTTATAAAAAAAAAAAAAAAGCCTGATGAAAGAGCCCAAGTCCCATTAGAACTTGATAAAAGCTCCAGTTTTGTTAATTAAAAATCAGATACTTGAACATACAAAAATGTCCTCTAGAAGCTGTTTTACTTAAGTGGCTCAACTCCAATTACCAGAATTTTCCTCCTAAGACTAGATGTTTAGTAGTAATTGTGCCTTTACTAGTAAGTTTTCACAAGCTTCTTCAAAGTGACTGGTTGAAACTTATTGTGCACAGGATGAAACAGGAGAATGTGTCTCCACTGTTAGAATTATTTTCAAATGTGTATTTTAAAGTATAATCAAGCTTTTCAATTTCATGAACTGATTGTTCAAGAAAACAGTGGTATGAAAATATAAAACAGCAAACAAAAAGTAACTTTTTATGTTGTGTGTGTGTTGAGGAAACAGTGAAAAGGCTACACATTAACCTTTTTCAGAATTTGTAAGGAGTACAAAATCACCTAATTCTGAAAGGTGGTCCAGAATCATACTAGCTAGGGGGAAGAAAGTCAGATGAAAATTAAGATATTTGCCACTTAAAGAGGAGATTGCACAATAAAATTTAGTTGTCATACATTAAGTGCTCAAAATTCATTTCCCACCTGCTACACATCCTCTACAGACAATTCTCCCATGGATTATGTATTCTACTTACAGACTCAAAAGTTTTTTGGTTTTCCCGCATATATGAGACACAAGCCTTCCTTATTTCCAAATGATGGACTTGGCTGCAAAACAGCTAAAAAGAGAAAGACCAGCTCACTGTCAGCAGTCACTGGAAATAGCGGCTTCTAAAATAAGACTATGAAATGGACACTTAAAAGTCCCTCTTATTCAAAATGTATATAAAAAATTTAAAGGAAATAGGGGTTGCTTACTTATAAGATCAAGTTACATTTCAAAGTTTTCTTTAACCCCATTTTCTTATTGCTCCTGCATTCCAAACTAGCATATAGAAAAGACAGCAATACAAGTATTTGAAGTAATCAGAAAAGGTTAAAATAATAAGGAGCAGGCAGGCTCCATCCAGAACCTGAGACGCCTGGATGTTTTCACTAGGAAAAGAGAACAGGCATTTTATTTGCTTGTAATCAGTTGGGAAACCTGTTGGTGGGTTTTTAAATTAAGGGACTATGTTGCTGTTGTTGTCATGTGCCACTGAGTCGTTTCTGACCCATAGCGACCCTGTATAGGGTTTCCCAGGAGCAGCTGGTGAGCTTGAACTGCCGACCTTGCAGTTCAAAGCGACCTTGCAGTCCAGCACATTAACCCACAGCACCACACCAAGGGACTATACCAAGTATCAAACTGAAAATTCAGTATAGGGAATATTTCTTTTGCTCTTCTTACCTGCTCCGAAATAGCCCGAAAGAGGCAAGAGGCATCCTTGGCAGTCAGCTTCCGAAATAGTCCTAAACTGCTTAAATATTCATCCATTGATGCCTCATTCAGAGACTTCTGCCCACAGTACTTTCGCCATCCTTTTTGCATTGTGCAGAAGGAGGGAGAGAAAGGATCAGAAAGAAGTGCAAGAGGGTAAAAGCAGAGAACAAGTAGGAATGAGTAGTAGTGACTAGGGCTTGCTTATGCAGGTATCCAGAAAGCAGCTTGAAGTCTAGGCATCATAAGGCAGTTGGAGGCAGCATCGCAGCATCTTGGCAGGTCTCAGGAGCAGTAGAAGCAAAGGGCTGGCTTGCCCAGGTCAAGCTGGAACCCTGTGAGAAGAAAAAGAATAGCTGAGGGTATGGAACTCAACTTGAGGAGGAGACAAGGGAAGAAGGTGCTACCTTGTTGAGAGAAGGGTGGGATTAACTAAATCAGTCCACGGTTGAGAAAAGAATGTACAAGCAGCTGAGCTTTGGAGATCAGAAGGGAGCTGAGTTTGCAGTTTAACTCAGGGCAACTGTTGCACGAGGGCTACAAAGGGGACTACAATAAGGCTCAGGTGTGTAAGAGGCAGTCTGGTCATGATACAGTTAAGATTTCTGCCCAAACTCCCTGTTCCCTTCATAGATGCTAGTTTACTAGTAAGCTTTTGTACTAAAAAGCCTTAAAAGAATAGGAGGGAACTCTCCCACCCCATCCCCCTACTTGATCTAGAAGCAGAGCTCACATTCCAAGTCAAATCAAATACAAAAGTAATTTCAGGTATGGGGTTTCAGTAATCTTACTTGATTGCCCTAGATAATAATGACCTTTGGCTAGACTCACAGAAACTGTATCTATTGTTAAGAAACTGTGAGGATTCTTGAATAATGCCTCCCAACTAGTACAATAAAAAAGGATCCCTTAAAAATGAAAACTGAAACAGCATGTAAAACTTTCTAATAGGTGACATTTAAAATGCATGTGACAAAGTATAAAATATAAAAGCATTGGACATGAGATGTATCTGTGTACTGTTAAAGTACGTCTCCAGAAAAGTTCTCTGAATTCTGAGAAAATCAAGGTAAAATATGACCCAAGTTTTGTAAAATCCACTAAAAAACATGGTCCTCTTATATTATTTGGTTCCATTATTAATTATCTCCTTATTTTTATCTAAATGTCCCAATCTATTCACTTTGACTTTTTTGGAAGTTTTGAAATAAGCTGGCTTTGGAGAACTTACAAACTTACACTGGCTTCATTATTTTTCTTATTATCTGTGAATCCAGTAGTAATCCTGAATGCCTTTTCTTGAAAAACTATTAATTATCAATTTTATACTTTATGAATGAAATAAGTAAAAGTTAGGGCTGGTAGAAAAAACAGTAAAATTCTGATTATCCTTAGCCTGTCAATTTCAAATGAACTAATTTCTTTATTAAAAAAAAAAAACCATAACTACACTGGGAGAGTGATTCCTTTTTGCAAGAGTTATTAAACATAGGTCAAAAGGGGGATCACCATTTTCCTTTAAGGCCATGAAAAAACTCATTAAGTGTTACAAGTAAAAGGCTCATTTATTTGACTTTTTTTTTAACTTGTAAAGATACAATTAAAATACAAATTTTTCATACTACTTCATTTTAAACTAAAAAGTAAGTATATAAAACTTCAATTAATATTAAACCATACACTCCATTTTGACATGAAAGGAGAAATAGTAAAAGAATCAGAAAAGTAATAGGAGAAAGAACTGGAATCAAAGAGAAAAAAAGTAGAGATAAGAAGATAAGAAAAGAGGTATGACAAAAGGAAAGTTTTGCACACAGAGGAAGAACAAAGAAATAGATCCATCCATAGAACAAGTTAATTGATTTTGACAAAGGGACTAAAGCAATTCAATTGTTATCAAATGGTGCTGGAACAATAGACAATGTCAAGTGCCATCGAGTCAGTTCGCACTCATAGGGATCCTGTATAAAGTTTCTGGGAGCAGCTGGTGGGTTTGAACCACCAATCTAGCAGTTAGCAATCCTGTGCTTATACGACCGCCATCACACCAAGATTCCACTGTTGCTGTTAAGGAGTTGGTTCCAATTCATAGCACACCCGTATAGGGTTTCTGAGGCTTTTAAATCTTTGTGGAAGCAGAAGGCCTCATCTTTCTCCCTCGGGACTTCATTAGGCATTAGGCAAAAAATACAGATAATAACAAGGCTGTGAAGAAACTGGAACCCTCCTACTTTGCTGATGGGGATATAAAATGTTACAACTACTATGTATAGCAGCTTGGCAAGTTTTAAAACAAACAAAAATTAACAAGAGCCCCCAAATCCACTGTTGTAGAGTCAATTCCCACTTATGGTGAACCCATGCATCTTAAAAGGTTAAGAATAAATTTGATACTTAACGCAGCAATTCCACTCCTAGGTACTTACCAAATAGAAATAAAAATGTATGTCCTCACAAAGAGTTGTACTTAAATGTTAATACAATTATTCATAATCGCCCCAAACTAAAAACAATCCAAGTATATAACTGGTGAATGAATCAACAAAATGCAGTTATTAGCCATAGAATAAAATATTATTCAACAATAAAGAGCATTAAACTGATATATGCAATAATATGGATCAACTTCAAAAAATATTATGCTGAATAAAATAAGTTAAATGCAGTAATATAAGTCATTATGTTATATAATTCCATTTTGTATGAACTATCTGAAGGGGGAAACCTACTGAGATAGAAGACGGTAAGTGGTTGCCTGAGGCTGGGGTGGGAACATCTACTGACTATAAATGAGCAAAAAACATCTTTTTGGTATGATGAAGACATTCTAAAACTGGATTGTGGTGATATTTGCACAATTCTATGTAATTACTATTTTTGAGTTTTAAGCTTAAAACTGGTGAATTCTTTTAAAACTTCGATACACATAATTCAATAGCTTTTAGTACATTCTCATTACCTTAGTAAGAAAGCTCATACCCGTGGCCACTACCCACCAAATCCCTTAAACTTCCCTTCAGCCCTGTTAAGTGCCACTGAGTTGGTTCCGACTCACTGCGACCCTGTATACAGTTTCCGAGGCTTTAAATCTTCACAGGAGCAGAAAGCCTCATCTTTCTCCCGCACATGGCTGGTGTGCTCAAACCGTGGACCTTGTAGTTCGCAGTCCACTGTTTATCGTATAGAAGCCACTACACTCCCCAATCTACATTCTAGCTCTATAAATTTGCCTATTCTAGACAAAGAATACAATGGAATCACATAGTATGTAGCCTTTTATGACTGAATTTTAACAAGATTTTCAAGGTTCATCTACTTTGTAGCATGATCAGTACATTTAACTAGTTATCCATTCTTTTGATGATGGACATCTGGACAGTTTCTATTTTGATGTACACTCATGTACAAGTGTTTGTGTGTACATATTTCCAATTATCTTGTATATTTATAAATTGAATTGCTACATCACATTAACTGTTTATTAGGTCTAGGAACTGCTGGACTTTTTTTCACAGCAGCCACTGTTTTACATTTCCACACTGCAATATATAAAGACTCCAGTATCCCTACATTCTCATCAACACTTGCTATTATCCAACTAGCCAGCCTACAAATATCCCTGGTGGTACGGTGGTTAAGCACATGGCTGCTAACCAAAAGTCAGTAGTTCGAATCCACCTGTGGTTCTGCAGAACAAATATTCCTGGTGGCCTGCTCTTTTAAGAATTGTGTTGTTGTTGAGTGCTGTTAAATCAGTTAGCTACTCATAGTGACCCTGTGTAAAGTTTCCAAGGAGCAGCTGGTGAGTTTGAAATGCTGACCTTGAGGTTCAAACCGACTTGCGGTCCAGTGCTTATCCAAAGGAGCCACACTTGAAAGATTACAGCTTAGGAGACCCTATGGGTCAGTTATACTCTGTCCTATAGAGTCCCTAAGAGTTGTAATCAATTAGACAGCACACAACAGGCCATATTAATAGGTGGAAAGTAGTGTCTTATTGTGGTTTTGATTTGTACTACTCTAATGTCTAACGATACTGAACATTTTTTCATATGCTCATTATCCATTTCTTTAAATATATATTTAGATTCTTTATCCATTTTTAATTGTCTTTTTTTATCACTGAGTTGTAATAGTTCTTTTTATATTTTTATATTCATTTTATATTCTATATGAAATTCTATAAACCTCAAATATGATTTGCAATAATTCTCTCATTCTAGGGTTTGTCTTTTCACTTTCTTGACAATAAAAATGTTTGAAACATAGCTATTTTAAATTTTAAGTTGATGAATTTTATAACATGGAACTTAGACCTCAAAAAAGCTGCTGTTTTTTAAAGCTTTTAGTGAGTATTAAGTGAGTTTGTTGTTGTTAAGTGCCGTCGAGTTGGTTCCGACCCATAGCGACCCTGTATAGGTTTTCTGAGGAGTGACTGGTGAGCTTCAACGCCAACTTTGCAGTTCAAACGGCTTATGCAGTCTGGCACATTAACCCACAGTGCCACGCCAGGACTCCAAGTGATAGTTTACAGGGCAGATAACCAGTTTTACATTCAAACAACCATAATATTTTGTTTCATTCCAATGATTACAATACCCTCCATGTACCATCGGTTAACAGTATTTTCCCTTTATTCCCTCTGTGTACAAATAAACAAATAAAAGGAATAGAGGGAAATACTGTTAACCAATGGTACGTGGAGGGTATTATAACCATTGCAATAAAACAAAATATGGTTGAGTGTAAAACTGATGATGTACCCTGTAAACTATCACTCAATTCACAATAAAAACTTTAAAAAAAAGCTGTTTAAAAGGTAAGAAGAAATTGGACACATTACCAAAGACAACACATGGATGAAAAATAAGATGAAAAATTGATCAACATCTTTAGGCATTACAGAAATGTAAATTAAAACCACAGTGAGAAACAAAAAATTATGGAGATATATAAATTTTTGAAGGACTAAAATTTTTTAAATTGCAAACTGGCAATACCAAGTACTGACAAGGATTAGAGCTACTGGAATTCTTACACATTGTTCGAGTGAATGTAAAACAGTACAGCCACTCTGGAAAATAGTTCAGCAGTTTCTTATAAACATAGTTACCAAATGACCTAGTAATCTACTTAAGAGAAATGAAAATGCACCTCCACACAAAATCTCATAGATAAATATTTATAGCAGCTTTATTAATAATAATGATCACCCCAAACTAGAATATACTTTAATTGATAATGGACAAACTGATGCATCCATGTAAAATACTCAGCAGTTAAAAATGAACTACTGATATACATATAT